TCAGCCAGCTTTGCTGGCTGAGGAATTCTGGGAGTTGAAGTCCACAAGTCTTAAAGTTGCCAAGGTTGGACACCCCTGCCCTAGAGTTAAAAGGCAAGGAAGACTCGGAGTATTGTACAGTTTGGGAAAATGGGTAGGAATGAATGAACAATAGGGATAAGAATTGAAGAGATCAGAAGATACAGAAATGTATATGAATCATTAGAAAGGTATGGAGATGTGTGTATGTCACAAAGATGCCTCAGTACTGTTAGAGATGATCGAGATTTGTGAAAAGAAAAAAAATACAAAAAAAATATCAGATATAAATAAAGGTGAGCAGGAAACGGATGCTCTGAAAAGATAACTATAGATTGGTCTCGTGTGTCTGATCCTCTGCCGTTTATTTGTCCGGAGGCGAAACCACGAGTAAAAAGACTTGATTTAAATCGACTCGACAAATCGTCCTTTTTAAAGAGTCGCTGTGTCAGCCTTCAAGAATCTTTACTTTCCAGCTGCCATAGTAACGGGGGGCGGGGGGGTGTATATTGGAAGTGGTGACCCTTTGAGAGCCATATGGAACGAAATTTCATTTTAATGTATGCCAATTAGTGTAGTGTCCATTCAAAGTGACAATAGAGTTATTCTAAGTTCTAAGAGTGGTGGTAACTTTTAAGGGGGATAACAAAATCTTTGAAAGCCAGTTGCATTGATTTTATTGTAATTTCTTTGTCGTGAGGCATTGAGAGCCGGTTGGCATATAAGTTTCATACATTACTGTTAGTATTATTGTTGGCATTGTGCTACACTGACTCATAACTGAGCATAAGAAGGGAGAGAAGGTAAAAACAATCAGACTTGCAAGATTCTGTTATAATCAGTTTCAGTAAAGACAGTTTTAGCCGCCTGGTGGAGTTGACTTCTTGGTTTAACACTATCCTGACCAAAGGGAAGACTATGGAAATCAACCAGGAATTTCAAATTCTCATTGCTTGTTTAACTTTCCTCTGTCCTCACTTGTTTTCCCACAATCTCCATTTTAAAAGTAGATTATTATAGTCACAAGCCTGGGTTTGTTTGTTCCTCGGTGTACATCCCAACCCACCAAATAACTCCAGTTCAGTTCCTACTGAAATGAGGTTGAATTGTTGCCAGTTTAGGGCAATTAGCCTTGTGTATATATCAAATTCTGATATATTATTCTGATTATGCTCCATGTGAAACCTCTTAAAACCGAGCACATTTTGTAGTTTTTTTGTTATTACTGTTATTTGTAACCATGGCGAACTGGCATTAAAACAGGATTTTCAGTTTCTTGAATTGGGAGGACCTGCATGGAACAGATTGGGAACAATGTCAAGCAGTTCTTGTTTAAAACTCTAGTATCGTTGTTTTTTTTGTTCTCCCAAAGTTGATTTTGGAGAGAGGAAAACACTGAGAGTTAAAAACAAAATACAAATCAAATTTTAGAGCATTTCTTTTTGGACATTCATGCGCTCTAAACCCACCGAGTTGCTTCATGGAGAATTAAATCTCACTGATTCACAGCCCCAGCCTTTGGCAAGATGGAACACAGTGGCACCAACGAATAAACCAGCCTACTTTTCTCCAGAATGAATAAACAGTGAACCTTTGTATTAGCTGCACCAGCGCTTACGGATCTGAATTAAACGTTTCTTTTTAAAAAAATATGTATTTACTATTTTATGTTTTATAAAATACAAAGCAAAAAAAAAAAAACCTGGAGAGGAAAAAAAAAACCTCATACATCCAACAGTAAGGATGAAAAAAGGGAAAAAATGTAAAAAAAAGGAAAAAAAAAAAATCAACTCAAACACCCACCAATAAGCGGGGGGGGGGGGGGGGGGAATTCTGCTTAAACTTTAGCTGGCTTTCATGCCTAAGGCAAGACTAAAACTCACTGTTTCCCCCATTTTTATAACCTGGTGCTTAAACCACAAGATCAAGCCAAGGTCTGTGTATGTGTGTGTGGGGTTTTTTTTTTTATGGTTCTGCTTCTTGCCAGGGCAAAGGCCTCAGGATAAACCAGTGAAGAAGCAATGTGTAAAGTAGGTGGAAAGTAGTCCTTGAGGAAACTGTCAGAGTGAAACTGCTTTCACCAGCTGCTTGGTGATCTGAAATCGAAACTGAAACTGAACCTCCTCTCCTCTGCTTGTGTTTTGCCTTCCCAAGAAATTTCTTTCCAGGTGGGGAGGAGGACTAGAACTCCTTAGCATCAGAGCGTGTTAATAATAATAATATAGGAAATACTCTAAATGCTCTGATGAGTCATTTGGAAAAATCCTTTCTTCGTGAGCACCTAGAAGCCAAGAGGAAGCGACGTGCCAGATTTCAAGTTTGTAGGCTTTACAGTTGTGGAGATTTTGTTACGATGCCTGAGTGGTCTTTTGCTTTTAGATATATAAATATATAATGCTTGTTGTAATATCTGTTTTCAATAAGACTTTTAATTCTGCTAGCTATTTATCATCACTGTTTGCAAGGTAGGCAGCCATACAGAATGACATAAACACCTGAAGATTACTTTGTAGGAATCTTCAGGTGTTTATGTCATTCTGTATGGCATGTAATTTTGTAATATCCCTAGGTGTGAAGAAATATACAATCTTTACCCCATAAAACCAGGATGCAGCCCTCATTTCCCGGAAAAGCCGAAGCAGAAAACTATCCCGTGTGGGTTTTGTGAAATGGAGAAAGAGTTTTAAGGCGATGGGACTTGGTCCTGGATTTTTGGAGAGTTTGGGGGAGATGGGGGGGGGGAGAATTCTATTCTATCTATATTCATATGGAAAAGACATTTGTTTTAGCGCAATGGGTGCCTCTTAAAAGATAAGATCCGTACCAGGTTGTAGCGTTTCAGGATGCTGCTCTCGTGGAAGTTAGTAAACCCCGGTGACCAGCATAGAACAAAGAAAGACTTTGCCATTTGTCTAAGCAACTCTTGAGACAATTTTTATTTTTGTCTTTAACCCAACCTAATTCTTTTTGATCCATTGAACATTACTTTTCTCTAAGCCACGTAGCTTGAGATACTTTCCTTCCACCCACCTCAGCCTTCTGTAACTCTGCCTCCTCGAGATATATGAATTCTTAGAATCCCGATTTAAGAAGCAATTCTTACATTTCTTTCATTTTAAGTTCCTGGGCAAATTCTGAAGAGGCAAATTATCCATATCTGAAGAATGTCCCAGTAGCAGAAGTCTATTGAACATCAGAAGACTCAGTAAATAATATTGCAACCAGGGATTCAAAATTTTTTTTTACTACCGGTTCTGTGGGTGTGGCTTGGTGGGTGTGGCTTGGTGGGCGTGGCAGGGGAAGGATACTGTAAAATCTCCATTCCCTCCCCACTCTTGGGGGAAGGTTACTGCAAAATCCCCCTTCCCTCCCCACCCCACTAACCTGCTTTCCAGCTCTGTTCTCCTGCGCAGGGCAACCAAAGAAGACCCAGCCAATCAGCTGGGACTCAATGGGAGGCAGAGAAGAGATGGGGGCGGGGCCAGTTGGAGGCGGGATTGGCCGGTTCTCTGAACTACTCAACATTTCCGCAACCGGTTCCCCAGAACTGGTCCGAACTGACTGAATGCCACCTCTGATGGCAACGTCCCATAGCCCTGGGTTGTCAACTGGAAGGCTGAATCTGTGACAGGAGGAAGCGTTTCTTCTGATCAGAAGTAAAGCCCCTCATGGAACCGACTTGTTGATTCTGTCTCCCTCCCTCCAGACTACTGCATGAACCCCCAGACGGTGCTGCTGCTTCGGGTGATTGCTGCTTTCTGCTTCTTGGGAATCATCTGTAGCCTTTCAGCGTTCCTTCTCGACGTCTTCGGGCCCAAACACGCCGCACTGAAGATTACGCGCCGTTACGCCTTTGCTCACATTCTCACAGGTAGCTGGAGAGCGGAGGTGGGCTGCAGCCAGTTCGGACCGGTTCGCCCGAATCCCTTGTTCCGATTTTGCGTGGTTCGGAGAATGGCCTGTTTTTCGGGCTGTTAGCCTGAAAATGGCCCCAAAAACCAGCCTGAAAATGGCTCAAAAAGAGGCCGAAAAATGGGCAGGGGTGGACCAACCAGTCATGGGATTAGCCCCAACCAGCTGACAATCTACCCCCATTTAAATCATGAGTTTCTAGCTGCATCTCTCAGAGTTTAAAAAAAGATTTATTAGGGGTGAACATGCCGGTGCTACCTGGGTGCAGCCGACTCCGAGACGCATCATTCATTTCCCCCTTGACCCTGGTCTTCCCCCACCCCCTGCATGTATATTCACCAATGGGACACATCCCTAGCCAAGAGTCATCAATCATGCTCTCCAGTAATAATCTTGCGCCCCAGAAGCTTCGGCCGCCTAGATAAGTGCCTAGCACTTATCTACGGTATGCACTACTCCCCCCCACTCCCTTTCTGCTGGCCACTCTAAAAGACCAGAGAAATATTTCTGACACCTGTTCCTTTGAGGTGAGTGGCCAGGAGGCGCGGCTGGATGTGATGAGTGACATCACCCACCCAGTCACATGACCAACCAGCCACGCCTACCCAGCCAGAGAACCAGTTGCTAAAAAATTCGCAAAATTGATCTTGGAGCCTGGAACACCTCCCCTGTTTGTGTCCCTACAGTGTTAAGATTTTCACCCGTGTGAAATTTTAAAGCACATGTTCCACATTGCTCTACCGAGTCCGCTTCTGTGCTGAAGGCACAATTAGTTGGACTAACAAGGGAAAGCTGCTTGGTCCTCCAGGTCACCGATATCCCAAAGTTGCATTTTTGAGAGGCAACTGGACTCATTTTGGTGAAACTAGACCAAAAAAGTCCAGCTGCCTCTTGAAAAAGCACCTTTGGGACCAGAGAAAGGACCTATGCTTTCTCCCATTGGCGCAACTCAAGCCTTTGGCCCTTGGTTTGGCCATAGGCCACAAAATCATCTCCAAATGACCTTAGGAGGGGGCTAATAAAGACCATCGGGAAGACATTAAACTGCTTTTTTGCAGTCCATTTGGTTTCTACCCCACATTTGCGTTAAAAACAAGTCATAAAGCATCTTTTTGTCCAGTCAGTTCTCCATGAGACAAACCAGTCCAACGTGTACATTCAGCTTCAGATCCCGAAAGATCTTATCTCTCCCCATCCCACACTTTCATCTTAAAAAGAGTGTGAGAGTTCAAAAAGCAAAAAAAAAAATGTTCATTTAGCAGGTAACTGAGATGATGCAACCCATTGGCTCCTCGCTAGCTGTCTGTGTGTGTGTCTCTCTCTCTGTCTATCACTCTGTGTGTGTGTGTGTGTGTCTCCGTGTCTTTCATTCTCTCTCTCTGTCTCTCTCCGTGTCTGCCTGTCTGTCTCTCTCTCTGTTAGCCTGAGAAAGGGTCATTGCCCATGTCCTCATTCCCCATGTTCCCATCCGTCTTTTCCTTCTGCCCACAGTGCTGCAGTGCGCCACGGTGATCGGGTTTTGCTACTGGGCCTCGGAGCTGATTCTCGCCCAGCAGCAGCAGCACAAGAAGTACCACGGCTCGCAGGTCTACGTTACGTTTGCCATCAGTTTTTACCTGGTGGCCGGAGCCGGCGGGGCATCCATCCTGGCCACGGCCGCCAACCTGCTGCGCCACTACCCCACTGAAGAAGAGGAGCAGGCCTTGGAGCTTCTGTCCGAGATGGAGGAGAACGAACCTTACCCTGCAGAGTACGAAGGCATCAACCAGTTCCAGCCACCGCCGGCTTACACGCCATAACGCTTCCCCGGACGATGGCTGGGGCAAAGGAGGAGGGCGGGGGCGGGCTTTCTTCCAGCCCGTCCCAGAATGTCAACCTGCACACAATTGCTTGGGAAGGCATTCCCTTCTCTTCCTGGAACCCCCTCTTGTAGGTGTTTCTCCCTTCCTTCCCCCCCCCCCCCCCCGTGGATCTGCTCCCTTTTTACCGTTTCCTGTCTGGGGAGAAGACCAGGAGCCCGAGCTGAAGACTTGCTCATGGAGTGACCTCTGAAGTGGTCGGATTCCGAAGCAATGGGGTGACATTTGGGAGCGGGGTTTGAACCTCAGGCATTCGGGGGGGGGGGGCAACAACTGCACGACGTTTTCGAGCGGCAGAGCTGGGTGAGGCTCCAGAGAGAGAGAGAGAGAGATCTGAAGAGAGGAAGAGGAGAGCCACTTCTGGAGAAGGAAGGCATGTAGACAGCTTGATTGGATGGGAAAGGCGATGGGTGGGCGGGCGGAGGGAAAGGTGCCACCATTTTTGACGTTGCGCGAAGACGTTTTGCGTTGGGCGGCGGAGAATTCAGCGGTCCTGTCCCGCCATCCACAGAGCTCTCCTTTTGGGGGGGGGGAGAGTGGAAGGATACCCCACTCCGACGTTCACCCCTAGGGGCCAACAGGCTTGGCCTTCAGCACCCTGAATGATGGGACTCCTTCTCTATGCACTGGCTTGTGGAGAGCTGACCCCCGTGTGCTTCCTGAAAAAGCAGGGTTGGCGTTTCCTCCCACCCTCGTTTCGTCCACTCCTGCGACTCCGCGCAAGCGTTTTGCACTTTCTCTTGCTCTTTCTTCGCGCGGCCTCTTTCCCTGACGGGGTTGGTGGAGGGGGGGGGAAAGGGGCCACGAAACGTGGCGCACTCCAAGAGGGTATTGCGACTACTGAGCTTTCCCCTGGGAGAGAGGTGGGTGTGCCTGTCGTCTCTGACAAGGGACTCCCGGGGCTGTCCTTCCACCCGGCGTCCCCCGCTGCACAATTGCCGGGCCTCCTCCAGCCCGTCTTCGCCAGGCAACATATCACAACCACGTTCTTCCCCCTTACCACCATCACCAATGCAACCAATTATATGCAAAAAAAAAAAAAAAAAACATTGCAGGCTTGATTTCCACTGTTACCTTTTCGGTAGGTCTTTTCCCTCCCCCCACCGATTCCACCTTCTCCCTAGAGCTTCTGGCCCCGATTTTTCCCGATCCGCTGGCGTGTTTCACAGACGGGAGTCCACCTGTTAGCTGCAGGTAGTAACTCAAAAGAGCATTTCACTTTCTGTTCGCTTCCTGTACAAAGAGAAATTATAGTTAACATTTTTCCTTTTTTTTTAAAAAAAAAAAATTCTCTGCGTGGAGGTAAACCCGCTTCAAATAAGCCAGCAATTTTTTTTTTAAAATTCACTAAAATGTGCTTTTACTGACCGTGGGAGGGAGGGAGGGAGGATGCTGACACGAAAAGGAGAGAGTGAGCCTTGTCAAGGAATATGCGTGTCTGTGTTTTGAAAGAGTATGGAGAACTGTTAAAAACAAAGTAAAACTGGCTTGACTTGATGGAGGGTTGTTCCTGTTCAGCGAGATTTAAAAGAGAAACGCAGCGAAAGCTGCCTGAGAGTTCAAAGGGGGTTTGTTGTGATCTGATTCAGAGTTAGAGAGGACTTGAAATCCAGGGCTGGGCGTCAAAAACTTCAGCAACCGATTCTCTGCCTGGTTGCTGGGTGGGCGTGGCCATAATGGGCGTGGCCTACTCGGCCTCCTGCACCATGGCAGCAGGGGAGGGGCATCTTTGCCCTCCCGAGGCTCTGGAGGCTTTTAACTTGAGCCTCCGGGAGGGTGAAAACTGCCACCCCCGGATCAGAGGTGGTATATTCAGCCGGTTCTGACTGGTTCTAGAGAACCGGTCGGAGAAATGTTGAGTAGTTCGGAGAACCGGCCAATCCCACCTCTGACTGGCCCCGCCAACCCCATCTCTTCTCTGCCTCTCATTGAGTCCCAGCTGATTGGCTGGGTCTCCTTTGGTTGCCCTGCCCAGGAGAACGGAGCTGGAAAGCAGGCTAGTGGGGTGGGGAGGGAAGGGGGATTTTGCAGTATATCCTTCCCCTGCCACGCCCGCCAAGCCACGTCCACAGAACCGGTAGTAAAAAAAAATTGAATCCCACCACTGCCCACGCCAACCCCATCTCTTCTCTGCCTCCCATTGAGTCCCAGCTGATTGGCTGGGTCTTCTTTGGTTGCCTGGCAAAAGGAGAGTGGAGCTGGAAAGCAGGCTAGTGGGGTGGGGAGGGAAGGGGGTTTTGCAGTATATCCTTCCCCTGCCACGCCCACCAAGCCACGCCCACAGAACCTGTAGTAAAAAAAATTGAATCCCACCACTGCTCTGGAGGCCATAAAGCGCCCTGTTTCCGGCCTTCTGGAACTTCCGGCAATCCTGGTTTATGCCCTCCCTGACCCTCTGCGCGGGCCTTGTACTTACCTGGCATCCAAAATGGGCCCCATGGAGACTCCTGGGAGGGGTGGGGTGGGGTGGGCGGGGCCAGCCAGGGGTGGGATTTACCGGTTCACCAAACCGGTAATTAAAAACGATAAAATTAGCAACCGGTTCGCTCAAATCGGGGCGAACCGGTAAGCAGTCCATCCGTGGACTTCAGTCCTTCTCTTATCTGTGCCAGATCATGCAGAGGACATGAGATCCTCTGTAGCCTGAGCGTGTTAACAGGCCACCGTATAAATACAGGGTTGGAAAGTGGAGGGGACCCTTCCCCTGTTCTCTTAATTGCAGGGGGAGAGAAATTGGGATAGCTTTTTAAATTAGACTCCGAAAGCTTCACCTTTTCAACGCCGAGAAGGAGAAAGTTGTGGGATGTAGAAGAAATCTGATCTTTTTATTTTAATTTTAAAAGGTAGTTCAGTTGGGGAGTGTGTGTGTGTGTGTGTGTCCCAATCTGACTTTTGTGCTTTCCGCACGCTCACAAAACAGCCGGTAGCGATCTTTTGCTCCCGGGCTGATTTGGCTGTAAATATTGTGCACACTTTTACTATTTCCACCTGGTCTCTTGTATTTGAGCCCCGGTGCTTCCGGGGTTAGAATGTGCGGGGTTGCAGGCTGACTCTGCCCACAATCTAGCGTTCGATCCTGACAGGACGCAAGGTTGACTCAGCCTTCCGTCCTTCCGAGGTGGGTAAAATGAGGACCCAGATTGTTGAGGGGAAAGAGGCTGACTGCAAACTGCTTAGAGAAGGCTGTAAAAGCACTGTGATGCAATATATAAGTCTAAGTGCTCTTCCTTCCTCCTTCCTTTCCTCCCTCCTTTCCTTCCTCCCTTTTCCTTCCTTCCTCTTTCCATTCCTTCTTTCCTCCATTCCTTCTTTCCTCCCTCCCTCAGCCTTCCATCCTTCTGAGGTGGGTAAAATGAGGACCCAGATTGTTGGGGGCAAGAGGCTGACTCTGTAAAACCACTTAGAGAGGGTTGGAAAGCACGTGAAGCGGGATATAAGTGCCATGGCTATTTGGATCTTGAAGGGAGTAATGGGGAAGTACTGCGTCCGCTCTCTTCCCCTTTTCTGGCTCAAGGCTGGGAAGCAATAAAGGCTCCATGTGCCAAGGGCAGCTTGATTCATCTTCAGAATAAACTGGTGGCTTCAACCTGCCTTCTTTTTCCATAGCGGGACTTGATAAAAACCACATAATCTGCATAGAATCATTTTTAGACCCAGTTCACGAAGCACTGTTGATTAACTCCCATCGGCTAAAAATCTGGATTCCTTTTTCTACCCAGAATAAAATGGCAGCGTGAATGGCCTCTTGGCAAATTATTGAAGCGTGCAGGCTTGTAAAGGAATGAAGGATCTCAGAATTAAGAGAGCCTCGTGGGTTTTCCTCCACCTGGAAGGGCAAACCCAATTTGACCAGTGTCTGTTTGATCGCTTGCAAAGGCCGCAGTTTTTGCATTGACATGTTTCTATTTTTTAAAAAAATAATATTCACATTGTGGTTCATTTATTCTTGTCGGTCTGCCTCGAGTCTCTTTTTCTTCAAAGCTGAATGCACAATAAAGGATTAGAATAGCAGAAAAAGAATTACCCTGTTCAAAAAAGGCTAGAGCTGAGTTGGTGAAATGAAGTCCTTCAACCTTCTTCCAAAATGCTCACCCAAACCAAAGAATTTTACATCCCTGCCTGAAGATGCTTTTAGTTAAAAAAAAATGAAAGACCCTTCCCAAGTTTGGCAGTGATGCAAGAACACCAGGACACACACCACCTATTACTATTATAATCCTTTTAGTGGGAGGTTTACCTGGGTCGTTACGGTCACCTGAGTAGAGCACATGGTTCCTGTAGTCTGCAATTTTTTCCCTCTGGAAATCCATTCCTACTCCCACACCATTTCAAGGGTCTTCATCCCAAACTGTATAGCTAAAAGTCTGACTCGGGACACAGATAAACCTCCAAGTGGCCTCAACGACCCTCTAAAAGGATGGAAATGATCAGCTGTCTGCAAGGAGTATCAATCCTTCCATTCCCCACCATTCAGCCAGAGCTGAAGAAGCTTCTTAGAGGAGAAGCGAAATGTCTTCCAAGAAAAAATACCAGAAAGTCCAGTTGCCTTTTGGGAAAAAAATGCATCTTTGGGATAGTAACAAAGTTGTGTTAAAAGTGAATCTGGTTTCTTCTTTGACTTCGCTGGTCAGTAAGTTGCAAAAAGCAATACCAGGACACTGCAACTGTCATAAATGTGAGTCAGTGGCCAAGTATCTGAATTTTAACCATGGAGATGCCATAATGGTTGTCACTGTGAAAAACAGCCACAAGTCACTTTTTTGGTGCCGTTATAACTTTGACCAGTCACTAAGCAAGCTGTTGTAAGTGGAGGATGGCCCGTATAGTTCGGAAGTGCTGGCTGGGGCATTCTGGGACTTGAAGTCCATAGCTCTTCAAAAGGCTAAGATGGACAAATGCTGCATTGAGCTCCCGGAGTTCCCCAATAGCATCCAGAGCAAGGCTCTTCAAACTTGGCAAGTTTAAGACTTGTGGACTTCCACTCCCAGAATTCCTGAGCTAACATGACCGGAGGAGGAATTCTGGGAGTGGAAGTCCACAAGTCTTAAAGCTGTCCAGTTTGAAGACCCCCCTGATCCAGAGGCTGGGAATTGTGCTGCTTGGCTGCCCTCCACTCTGGAGGAGGCCAGGGCCCAGCAACGCCTGCTTCCCAAATGGTAACTCCCGGGAAAGGGATTCCCGCCCCCTAACCCCCCCCTTTTTTTTTTTCTTTTTCTAAGGGAGAATCCAAGGTCCATCTGCCCTTGGACTGCATCTCCCATCGTCCCTTTGCTAACGGGAGGCCTCAGAACAAGGCTGTCCTTGGGACCGCCTGACTTTTCGCGCAGGCGCCATCCAAGGGCAGCCTCGCTGGAAGGGGGCCGGGGTGGGGTCCTCCTGTCTCCAAGGCGCCCTTGAGTGGGTCACAAGGCGGAGCTCCCAGGCTCGGTGGGCGAGCGATTCGAAGGAAAGTCAGCACGCCGTCCGTGAGAGGTCGTAGGGGAAGAAGAAGAAGGAAAAAAAAAAAGAAGACGACGGACGTCTCTGTCCTCCAATCGGAGGGCGGGGATGGCTAAGCGCTGGCCAATAGGCACCGAGCTCGGGGCGCGGGGCGCGGCCTAGCCAGCGCAGCCCGCTTTCTGAGGGCTTCTTTCTCCTCAAGCGAGGCGGGGAAAGCCGGGAGGAGGAGGAGAAGGCGCCGCCCCGCCCCGTCTTCTGCCCCCTCTCTCTCTCCCCAACCTCCGCTCGGGCCGCGCCACCGGCTGGAGGGTTCGCGGGGAGAGGCTTCGTCAGGTGAGGCTTTCCCCCTCCGTCTCGCGTCCACAGCCCCTTCCCCAAAAGGCCTCTGGGAATTGTAGTCCCCGGGGCCTGAGGGGGGGGGTGGGGGGCCCCCCCGGGGGGGGGGGGGGGGGGGAAAGTGGCCATTTGGCGGCGCCGCAGGGAATGCTGGGAAAAGGGCGCGAAGGCGGAGAGGGGGGGCGGGCGTGGAGGAGCTCCCGCAAGGCCCGCGAGGGAGCGTCGTGGCTGCAGCCTCCGCCGGCTTCTTCGGGTCTGTTGGCGGGGGGGGGGGGGAGGGGGGGGGGGGTTGGGGGGGGGGGGGGAAGGGGAAGCCTCGTAAGGGGGCCGGGGGGGGGGGGGGGGGGTGAGAGGGGATGGGGGGTTTCTTTCTTGGGCATCTCAAGGGGATCGAAGGACAGCGCCCCGAATGAATAGGAGGATCCGTATCTCTATAAGGGGACCCTGGGGGCGTAAATCAAGGGCCTTCAAAACTGGGCAAGTTTAAGACTTGTGGGCTTCAACTCCCAGAATTCCCGAGCTAACATGACTGGAGGAGGAGGAATTCTGGGAGTTGAAGTCCTAAAGCTGTCAAGTTTGAGGACCCCTGGCGTCTATAGAGTAGAACAGGAACTGGGAGGGACCTTGGAGGTCTTCTAGTTCAGCCTTGGGCAGAGGGTTGGACTAGAAGACCTCCCAGGTCCCTTTCAGCCTAGGATTCTATGAAGTGAACCTATAACATCTCAGAAGAGAGACTGTCCAGTCTCTTCTTAAAAAACCTTCAGTGATGAAACCCCCCACAACTTCTGGTGGCAAGTTGTCCCACGGATTAATTGTCCTCCCTGTTAGGAAGTTTCTCCTTAATTCCAAGGTGCTTCTCTCTCCTGGATTAGTTTCCACTTATTGTTTCTTGTCTGACCTTCAGGTGCTTTGGAAAAATAGCTTGACTCCCTCTTCTTTGGGGCAGCCCTTCAAATACTGGAATACTGCTGTCCTGTCATCTCCTAATTCTTCTTTTCTAGTCTAGACAAGCCAAACCCAACTCCTGCAGCCGTTTTTCCTATGTTTTAGTCTCCAGGCCTTTGATCCTCTTAGTTGCTCTTCTCTCAACTTTTTCCAAAGTCTCAACATCTTTTTTTGTAGCATGGTGACCCAAATCGGTTGCATTCTTCCAGGTGTGGCCTTACTAGCGTTTTATAAAGTGGCATCAATATTTCAGGTCATCTTATCTAGTCCAACCTCCTGGTGGCAGGTCATTCCACTGGTTAATGGTTCTAACTGCCAGGAAATTCCTCCTTAGTTCTAGGTTGATTCTCTCCCGGATGAGATTCCACCCGTGGCTTCTTGTCCTGCCTTCAGGTGCCAGATATGGTACACCTTTAAATCCTCATCATCTGTGGAGCCAGCATTCGCTTAAGAAATGTCCGTAAAAATGGGACAAAATTCACAAATTTATCACTTACATTTTGGGCTCAATTTTGGTCGTAAATTTGAGGACTGTCTGTGGTTTATTCATTCGGCCACCAACAGCGATGGAAGGTATTGTTAGAGGGTCTGGAAAAGATTCAGATTGCACTAGATTCCTCCCTAGGTATGGATTTATTATGGAGGGGCGAAACTGGAGTATTGGTGTAAAAGATTTCCCTTAACAGCCTAATCTGCCTAAAGGGAGGGGGAGCAGAACAGGGGCTTTTAGATTTTAATTCCTAACACTACTATAAAGGCATGTGTATTCATTGCTGCAGCTTAATTTGCATGGGTGCCTAGGAGAAAGAACTGAGCCATGGAATTAAATGGTTATTTATGGTGGGTTCAGCATAAACACTCAGCAAGACTGGATTTGGCATTTTTGTCCACCTATTGAGTCCTTCCCAAGGACTTGGAGCAAGCAGATGTGCTTATTTAATAACAATATTGTCGCATAATGTAATCTGTTTCTAAGCAAAGCTGCCTTTTGCGGTTGAGTGAGGGTCTTCCAATGGTGCCCTGGATGTTTCAGGATTACACCCCAGGCACCTATTTTTGCTTTCTTTTGCCACAGTTCTTCTGTTTGCAGATCTTTATATTATTATGTTTTTGTCCTGCCTTTTTTTTAAATATACAAGTCACAATGGCAAACATGTCTAATATAACTGCCTTCTATTCTTCCTACAATGACAACTACGTGCGAGATGGGCTGATAAAGTACGATTGGCCCAAAGTCACCCAGCCGGTTTTCATGCCTGAGGAAGGCCTGAAAAACTCGGTCTCCTGCTTTTTAAGCCACAGCACTTTTACCACTAAACCAAACTGATTCTAGATGCTCTCAGAAAACCATATTACAGGAGCAGATAAACAACTCTTTATAATTCTCACCAATGGTGCATGGCAGATATTTAATACATTTCAGTATCCTTTTCTGGATTTGCCAATCTTGATGGTCTTCAAGAGAAATTGTTGCTCTAGATTGCACACGGCATTAAATTAACTTAAAAGTCATCTGACTGAATGTTATCTATGTATTTCTGTAGCTTTCTGATTGAGGCCATGTGCAAAGGGAAGAGCACATACCTTTCAGCTTTCAGTTGGCTGTATTTTGGCTCAAATCTATCATTTGCTACCTTCTGATGTAAGCAGTTGGGCACACGCTAAAAATTAAAACGTTTCTCTGCAAACTGCTAGGGATAACGCAAGTGAATTTGTACCTATTGTGAATAACCGTGCTGTTGAAAGTCATAAGAGTAATAGAACCTCTGCACCGTTTTGTAACTCTCCTTATCTTCCAAGACCTTAGTAGAAATTGTTCTAATCTGACATTTGTCCTGTATGACTTTTAAACATGCCTTCACAACTCTACTGTACAGGTTTGTGGGTTTTTTTAACCTGAGATTGCTGATGGTGAAAATTGCTTTGTAGGATTTGTTCTCTATGGAGTCACAAGATAGTGTAGGACGGTATTTCTCAGCTACAGCACCATTTTAAGTTGAAGTAAGTTTAACTTGAGTTGAAGTCCCCATATCTTAAAGTTGCCAAGGTGGAGAAATTAGTGTAGGACACACTTCCCATTCTAACTGTTTTAATTCTGTAATCTCCTACCTGTATTTATTGTTGGTCATGCTACATGAGGGATTATGAGAGTTAATCCATTATGTTTATGGACATCCCACTTAGGAAAGATTGGGCAGAACATGGCAGGAAGGAATCATCGGTTTGGAAAGAACTGGGTGGGTGAGGTTTGGCCAGATTATTGAAGTCATATTGTGTTGCAAACATATCTGAAAAAGAGAGGATGGCATTTTCTCTATTTTGTAATTGACAAAAAGCAGGTATCTGAGCTTATGTTTGTATACTATCTTCCCGGCTCATATTTTTAAGTCTCTTCAATACAGTTCTTGGTCCTCTAATAATATTTACTTAAAGCTTCAAGGAATCAGGGTACAGTAAAGATTATGAGCTAGCATCAGATTAATTCTGTCGTTTGTAAAGTTAAAGATGAGTCTCGTTGCTTAATATTTGCTTTATTGTGCAACCGTTAAAGGTTTCTTTTTTCCCTTTTTCACGTTTTTAATAATATATTTCTAATTCTGAAATAGATTGCAGGTATTGGTGGATTCTTTTAAACTGGAATAGAAAATTAGACTTTTGCCATTTGCTACTTTTGAAGAGTTGCTGTTCTTCTCATGCAAGGAATGAAGCATTGGAGTTTAATTAGATTCTGCATCTTACACCTCAGCATTTGGCAAGCCTCAAAAGCTTTGATCCAACAGATGCAGTCACACCTGTGAGATCTGCCTACTCCTTTTTTCACAAACTCACTTCTGACTACAAAGTTAATCTCTGGGTAGAGCGGGCAGGCTGAGCCTGTGTTCTTGATACAGCCAGAGCGCAGCTAACCATCAGGGGTGTTTCTCTGTTACTTGATACTGTTGAGAGTTGGAAGAATCTTTGGGCGAGGGTCTTGCTTGGCAGCTGCTGCAGAAATCTCTACTGCAAAAGAAGCCCCTTGCACCCTTCCTCTTTCGGCTGAACTACTGTACAGGTAGGTATGCTGTAAGCATTCCTGCCTTGGGGTCATTTTTAGGTTGCTGCGAAGCCAGCTGATCCTGTTGCTAATACCAATTACTGTATCTGCTTTTGAGGCCTGTAACGGGATGCTGAGAATAGCGGTAGAGGAGGAAGCATGCTGCTTTTTTTTTGACTCTTGCTTCCCCAAGACAGAATCTTTCCATGCTGGAAATGTTGAATAGTGAGACAGGGAGTTCTGCTCGTGGAGAAAATGTGATGTAGTTCAGGGATCCCCAACCTTTTCGACGCCGCGGCCCGGTACCGGCATCAGCTGGGCGCCGCGGTCCGGTACCAGCATCAACTGGGCGCCGCCATCTTTTTTTGATGAAAAAGTGCTTCCGGTGAGCTTTCTACCCGGAAAAGTTCACTGGAAGCACTTTTTTACCCAAAAAAGATGGCGGCGCCCAGCAACCAGCGGCCCGGTAAGAGTTGTTCCGCGGACCGGTATCGGTCCGCGGACCGGCGGTTGGGGACCCCTGATGTAGTTGACTTTCCTCTCTCCCTTGTCCTCATGAATGATTTCACTGTGTTGGGGAAAACATCTGTCTTTGGATACACTCGTTGGTTTGAACGTTTGAATTCCATAAAAGCTTCCTTTCTTTCTAGTTCCAGCCCTCCCTCTTCATCTGTGCATTTTTAATAGCGATTTCATGTTGTTTCATGCTTATGCGTTGCACCTTCAATGTTACGTTTGTTTTTGAACTGTCATATCATATGAAGCTTGTGTATTTATAAACCATCATAGCGGGATGTAGGAATCCAGGTGTTTTATCTCTGCGCTTGAGAAATGCAGGATCAATAATTTCATTCCATTTTATACTTTTGGACCAGATTTTGGGGGTGGGGGAGAACTAAATTCAACTAATATATGGCATATTAACCTTCCTTACATAAACCTGTTACTGATACATCTGCCAGTCCTTTTGTGTATTCAGTTCTGTGGAAGAGGCTGAAATAAATCATTTTAGAATAAAAACTAAAGCAAAAGCAACATTAAGCAGAAGAACAAAGGATAAGGAACAGCATAGCAGAATAATTCTTTAACTCTGCTTTCTTTTTGGCATGTTTACTAAAACAGCGTCAATAGATATCCTTTTGTTTAAAAAAAACAAAAACGGAAAAAATAGGCTGACCAAAAACAAAGGCGTTTTATAATGATTTTTTGTGATTTATATGTGGTCTGTAACCCTCGAATGGATTGCTAACGGCGGTTATTGAAGTAGCTGCTCTAAGTTCCTCTCTGAACCCTAAAAGGAAGCTCCCTTTAATTGTGATGCTGTCTATCCGATCAAGAGAGGAGAATCCTAAATGGGGAGATGCCAAACGTTGCGACTGGTGTTGTCTTGTGATTTTGCATGCGTGTGTTTTTTTGTTGTTTGGCTCCAGGGCATCGACTGGTCAGCGAGGCGTGGCAGGAATGTTCCACCCACTTCAGTGGAGGCCTCCCTCCAGCTTTTATTCCCTCTACGCAAACTCATCCCGTTTCATCAGCTATGAAGGGAAGCCACGGAACGTGTGGTGGTGGAATGAGGACTTCCTGAAGGGCAAGTACCAGTGGCTGCTTACGTGGCTTCGGAAAGGCTCCGAGCAAGACCCGGGGCAGAAGAGCCTCCTCTCCCTGCTGGCCAATCAGTGCAGCTACGTGACCAGCCAGAGAATCAGGCGTGCTCAGCAAATCACTCAGCTGTACAGTAACATTTACTCCGAGAGGGCGCGCAAGAGCCTCTTCTCTTCCTTGTGGCGCCGGTTCCGGGGTCATCATGCCAACGCCTGCAAGCTGATGGCAGCCCTCACTGGAGTGTTCCTGTGGGAAGAGGAGAGGATCAAAGAAGAGGAGCTGAAGAGGTAGGTGGTCTTCTCCCCTTCCTTCTCTGGCTCACCGTGTGTGTGTGTGTGTGTGTGTGTTGCTGGTGGACGGGGCTCTCCCTGTGTTGGTAACAGGGCACATCGTAACCCAATTTCCTTTTAATTCCTCGGTGACCAGGGCAGGATTATCACTGGGAGGGAAGAGATTTTCTGTTAGCTCTCGTACATCCAGCAGGTGCCTTGAGTCAGGTTTCTCTTGGGTGCCATAATTACCAGTCAAGCTGGCCGTTGCTGTAGAGCGGGAGTGTCCAGCCTTGGCGGCTTGAATAGGGTAGGGATAGAATAGAATAAAGAATAGAATAGAATAGAATAGAGAATAGAATAGATAATAGAATAAAGGAAGAATAGAATAGAATAAGGAATAGAATATAGAACAAGGAATAGAATAGAATATAGAATAGAGTAGAATTAGAAAAGTAGAGTAGAATAGGATAGGATAAGACAGGATGGGATGGAAGCAGAGTAGAGGGAAGAGAAGAGAAGAGAAAATGGAATGGAACAGAACAGAATAGAATAGTTGGAAGGGACCTTGGAGGTCTTCTAGTCCAACCCCCTGCTCAGGCAGGAAACCCTATACTATTCCAGACAAATGGCTGAGGAATCTCTTCTTTAAAACCTCCAGTGTTGGAGAATTCACAACTTTGGGAAGCAAGTTGCTCCACTGGTTAATTGTTCTCATTGTCAGGAAACTTGTGGACTTCAACTCCCAGAATTCCCCAGCCAGCGCGTTGTGAAAAGATTGAATTCACTCATGCGTCCTGGGACTATTATCGCTTCTCAGCTTGCCCAAAAACTGGGTGGGAGTGAAGGGGAAGATGGAAGGCAGAGGCTCCGGACTTGCCCTGTGAGAGCCAACCCCGCCCCCCGCCCCCTCCTTCCACCGAGGACACTTCTTCTGCAGGTGTCGGCCAAGACACAAACTCACCCTTCACAACTGGACGATGCGCCCCGCCCAGTCTTTTTAACTGTGCAGAATTTACGCGGGAAAAGTTAGAGCCGGTTTTGCATTCTTCGGTGCCGAAATGATGTGCTTGATAAAAGTTTTGCTTTGGGGGATGGCGAAGTTCCTGAAAGCGTCTTACGTTTGTTGGCTTTTGTCAGTCGGACCGTTGACACGCATGTTGGGAGTCAAAGTCCACAAGTCTTCAAGTGGCCAAGGCTGCCCCCCCTCCCCCCACTTAAAACCCCTTCTGGAAAGAGGGAGAAGTCGTCACCTCTATTTTAGGCCAGATTGGGGAGGAGAGGAAGGTAGAGGGAATGACCAGAATTGAATTGCTAAGTGAGACATTTGTTGAGTGGGCTTTGTCCCATTTTACAACCTTTCTTGCCTCGGTTAAGGGAATCACTGCCGTTGTTAATAGCCCAATTGTGAAGTAAATCTGGCTTCTCCCGTTGACTTTGCTTGTCAGGGGTCACAAAAGGAGATCGCGTGATCCTAGGGCATTATAACCATCATAAATATGAGTCAAGCGTCTGGATTTTGATCGCATGACCATGGGGATGTTGCCGTGGTCATAAGTGCGAAAAACGGTCATCGGTCCCTTTTTTTCAGCACTGTTGTAACTTTGACCCATCACAAAGTGAACTTGTTATAAGTTGAGGACTACCTGTAATGGAGCCCAGAGTTTTCCATCGTAAGTGATGACGGTCGTAAGTTGAGGTGCTCAGATAACCTGATAATCTTATGACCCCTTTTTTGCAGCAGACCTTAAGCAAGTCAGGGCATTCCTGTGGGCGGGTTTTGGCCAAAAACTGGTTGAAAAGGCTGGTTTCTGGCCAAAAAACCCCCCAAAATAAAATCCCTCATGAAATTGTATCGTGTGATTTAAAGGCGAGCTGGTTGCCAAGCACCCCAAATGAGGTTATGTGGCCACAGAAAGGGGGCACTGCTGGTTGGAACTCCAGAACTGGGTCATAAGTGCCTTGTAACTATGACTGGTTGCTAAGCAACTGCCCCTTAAACAAGGACTACCAGTGTAACACATGCTTCACCGCACTGTTCATTTATATCTTTTATTTCACATTCTTTGACTTTTAAAATACGAGCTTTTGCAGGCAATCTTGAGACTATTTAAGAAAGCAGGAGAAGCAGGAATAAGCAAAAACATTATACCCAGGTGGCTTTTCCCAAACTAGGGCTCTGCAGTTTCCCTCATTCCTAGTCAGTATCATAATAGATCTTTGGGCATTATGGGAGTTGTTCTCTAACACGTGGAAGAAAGCAAGACTTGTGGTCCCCAGTAAAAGCAAACAGCCTTCGTCATTCTGTGTTTTCAAATATTTACATGGACATCAGGATCTTTTTTTCTTTTTCTTTTAGCCACATATCTGTTTCGAAGTGCACTGGATTCTGTAGATCCTGTTGCGTAGTGTGGGGGCAGCATAAATTCCACTGGGATTAGCTTTCCACTGGCCGCCAATGAAAGCTGGAGTGCTAAACCTCTGGCAGATGCCAGATTCCCTAACTTTAGCAGACCATATATACCTGCAGGATTTAAAAATCCGAGAGCGAGCCGGGCATGTCACAAAGTGGATGCAAGCGAGTGAAAGCTGCAGGAGTCTGCTCTGCTCAAACGGGGGCCAGTCCCAGGGAATGTGCGAGGTCATTGTTGAATAGTTGGCTGCCAACAATGGCTCCCAGTATTCCTCTGGCTCTCCTCCCAGCCCTGAACAGCTTGGGACCAAAGAGCCTGAAAGGCCTCATTTTCCCATTAATGCTGCCTGAAGAAATATCCCTCAGTGCTTGGAAGTCTTTGCAAATTCAGTATTAAACTTCATATTTCCTAAGCTTTGAAATTGGGAGGCTTCCACTGGGCCTCTTTAACAGACTTTTTGAAGTTGTCTTTGTGCTGCTGAGTTTAGCAGACCATTGTCCTTATGTGAGGGGGGCAGTGGATATATGTGTTAAGTTTGGAAGCAGCTTTGCTGCTTTATAAAACTGAATAATTCAGCCGGAATTCTGCAGGAACATGGGGGTACTAAACTTTCTCTTCTTTCTGGAAATGATCACTGTGGCTGAAACCATTGTCTTAAAGCAGCATCCCTCAACCTTTTGGGCACCAGGGACTGGTTCTGTGGAGCAGGGGTCTCCAACCTTGGCAACTTTAAGCCTGGAGGACTTCAACTCCCAGAAT